AAAAAAAAAAACAGGTTTCTCTGACTTCTACCCACTGGTATAAGGGCCGACCAAATAGCTCAGCGGATTAAAGTGCCCGCAAGCAGACACAGGGGCCGGGGGTTTGATCCCCAGGCCTGCCTTGCTGGCCCTGCCCCCGGGGTGCAATGAGACGGCAAGGGAGACTGGACGGCAAGGGAGACTGGACGTGGTGGTGCACGCCTGTAATCCCAGCTCTTGGGAGGCTGTAAACAGGCAGAGCACTATGAGTCCAACCTAGCAGTGAGACCCTGAATACCCTGTAGACCCTTCCATAAAAATACAAAGAAAAAAAAAAAGTACCCACTGGTAGAAACTCTAATCACACTAGGCAGTGACTACCAGCAAGTTCAAGTTTCATTTCTAAACAATCCATGCAAACAAAGAGCAAGAAGCTCCGTGAGGCGCTCAGTAGTGCTCCCCATCATGCAGGTCAGCCCAGCTGAGGGTGTGAGGTCATTCAGATACACTTAGCCCTGAGACAGTCATCCCTAAACCCAATGAGTGAGTCCTTCAAGAGGAAGAGACACAGACAGCACAAACGGTGGTGTGAAGACAGCAAACCTGGAGCAACACTTTGCTCTACAAGCCACAAAATGCCAAGGACTGCCACAAGCCGGGGAAAAGGCACGGGGCCAAATCTTTCTGTGAGCCTCCAAAAACAATCAACTCTCCGGCACCGGATTCCACAGTGCTGAACTCCAGGACTTTGACACAAAACTTCTGGGGTGTTTTTGGTTGGATTTGGTCTTGTTTCTTAAGATAGGTTCTCAGCAGAAGTTCAGGCTTTCCCTAAGCTCACTATTTCAGGCAGGCCTCAAACTCGCAACGATCCTCCTGCCTCAGCCTCCCACGTGCTGGGATTACGGGTGTGCCCCATCATGCCTGGTTAAACTAGTTTTGAAGCCACTCAGGTATGGTGTTATATAGCACCCAAGAAACTCACGCGTGTTGGTACAGTAAGTCCCCGACCCACATACAGCTCTGTTTTGGGAGCGTGTGAAACTTGAGC